ACTGACACCAATGATGAGGCACTATTCCTCTCACAGAGACACCAACGATGGGGCATTATTACTCCTACTGACACCAGTGATAGGGCACTATTCCTCCCACTGACACCAAAGATGGGGCACTATTCCTCCCACTGACACCAACAATGGGGCACTATTCCTCCCAATTACATCAACGATAGGGCACCATTCCACCCACTGACACCAATTATGGAGCACTATTTCTCCCACTGATATTAACAAAAAATAAAATAAAAAAAATCTCTGAGCAGCAACCCCCCCCCGGCACCCCCAATACTCACCTAAGCCCCATCTCGATCCAGCAATGTGCACTGGAGTCTCGGCTATACCGGGACTCTCCTCATTGGCTGAGATAGAAGCAACAACCATTGGCTCCCACTGCTGTCAATCACAGCCAGTGAGGAAATGAGAAGAGAGAGGGGTCAGGGCCGAACCTCGGCTCTGTGTGTGAATGGGCACATGGAGCAGCGGGTGCCCCCATAGCAAGCTGCTCGCTGTGCGGGCACCCTACAGGAGGGAGGGGCCACGAGCGCTGGCAAGGGACCCGAGAAGAGAAGGGTCCGGGCTGCTCTGTGAAAAACCACTGCACACAGCAGGTAAGTATAGACATGTTTGTTATTTAAGAGAAAAAAAAGCCTTTACCAAGGGTGGACTGACTATTTGGAAACTCGGGCACTGCCCGAGGGCCCTGGGTCAGTAGGGGACCCCATAAGATGCCCCTGGTACTTTTTTCATAGGCTTTTTTGAGTTAGGGCAAGGACACGGGGGCCCCATGATCCCCTATTGCCTGGGGGCCCCATGAGTTTTCAGTCCGCCCCTGGCCTTTACAATCACTTTAAAGTATAAGAAGACCTGACTACTAACACTTACCGAGGTAAAATAGAAGAAACAGGACAGGATTAACGGGAGTGAACTTATTTATTAATTACAGATACTTATATAGTACATCAATTTATGCAGCATTTCCATATATACAGTATATTGTACATTCACATCAGTCCCTGCCCTCAAGGAGCTTATAATATAAAGTCCCTAACTTACATATATGTAGTACACTCCTAGTTAGCTAGGGGGAGCTAGCTAATTATTTTTTAAGATAGAGGGCTGAGTAGCAGCCTGGGTGATAGTCAGAGGAGTCAAATTCAGGTCAGGGCTGAGAGGCTGATATCTCCCCTTGATCTAGAGCAGTGTTTCTCAACCTTTTTTCAGTCAAGGCACCCTTTAAAAGGCTGGACAGTCTTGAGGCACCCTTTAAATGATGGATGGTCTTGAGGCACCCCATTCCAAAATGTGAAAAACTGTTCTAATAGTTTTATATAACGCAGCAACATCCACACATGTAGGACACCCAGCACTAGAGGCGATTTATTCTTCTAAAGAAAATACTGTACATTTTTACACACTGGTACTGACTAGTATTCCATTGTTTCTCTTCTCCCTCAGTTTTTCTTCATCACTGAGCTAATGTGACCCCAGCACTGATGGAGAGGGGTAGGGGAGGGTCAAACAAGGATGCTGTGCAGGCAGCTGACACCCCCCTTATCAACTGATGATGTCATTGGTTGTCAGGACACTGGCAGCTAGAAGGTCGTAAAGGCACACAATGAAAACCTGTGGCATTGTGTAACTAACAGGCAGGCAGCCACACGCTGGCTGGTATACACGTTTTTGGCAATTTGTAGACATTTTTCCAAGGCGCTCCTGAGGAAACCTCAAGGCACCCCAGGGTGCCTGGGCACCCTGGTTGAGAAAGGCTGATCGAGAGACTTGGACAAGAACTCAGTGGGTGGGAGTAAGGAGGAGCTGGTCTGCACTCTTGAGGGATCCTGGCCAATCTCCAGGCAGAAGGCTTGGCATGGGGTCAGGACAGCCCTTAAGAGTGGGTGAGCCTGCTCAGAGGTAGGAGAGTTCAGGGTGGAAGATGTGGGAGAGGAGGAGATGCAGGAGTCTGGGAGGGGGTCCAGTGGGAAGAGGCCTACCTGCAGCCTGGGACTTGGAAAAGAGGATCACTCAACCTCATCAGTCCCCGGAGGGAGGACTACTTGTGGGGCAAGGAAAGGAGCCAGCCCAGCAGAAGGCCTGAAGGCAGCCACCACTCTAAACCAGCTAACAGGAAAGATAATGAGTGAGTAATCCTACACCCCCTGGGCCAGCTAAAGGGGAAAGGAGCACTCTGGTGGAAAACTTGATTAGCTCCTTACCCGGGACTGTACATCTTAAAGCGGCAGGCACTGGATCCCCTTGCCCAGGGATTCCTCCAGACAGCTGGTTGAAGAAGAGATTTATCTGGAGTCTGGAGTGGCACACCAGAGGAGGCTGGAGACCTCTCCAAGAAGAGTATTGCTGTGTAAAGACTTGTACACAGTTGCCAGGAAGTTGTCCTCAGTTTACTGTTCCTTGGGCATCCCATGCATCCCTCAACCCCAAGTTACATGCATAATAACAAACTCAGATGGCCAACCAGTGTGCAAAAAGTGACCATACTGCGGCGATGTCGGCAAGCTAACGTGTTTCAGGGACACATCCCCTTCCTCAGAGCTCCACAGAAAAAATAGATATAGAGGGACAGAACAAAATCTGGTCAAAATTGAGTCTAAATCTTTCGGAAGGAGAAAATATGTGTGACGATACCACGATCGCTGCCACCAATATGTGACGAATGCGGCGTCAGACCCCCGACCTTCTCACCAAACTTGTGACCGAAGGACTGGCCAATCTAAAACCGCGATGTCACGTGCGTAACAATGCCACGCCCAGCTGCACCCTGCACAATGATTTTCCAGCTAATTAGACCACAATCTATGTTCCAGCAGCCTGGGAGTGATTGTTACTGGGTCAGGTTAATTACGCAATTAACCCTTCACACTGCCACCACCTCCTTTTTGTACAGAGAAAGAGGAAACTCGGCGATATCAGCTATAACACTATACTGGTTAAGATAATCATCTGTATAACACGGTCACCGCAGACCGGTTATACAGAGGGTTAAACAAACACAGTAGCGCTCTTTTAGAGGCAGGTATTCATAAATTGCAATAAAGAGCTATAGAAACAGTTCAACACTTTCAGAAGGAAAGATTTATTACTAAAAGGTCAAAAGGGTGCAATAAAAATATTTACAGAAAAAAGATATAACCAATATATACTGTATATAAATATACAGAGAGCAACAGCACAGCAAAGAGATAACAGAGAAAAGTTAGAGGGTTAAAGTACTTGCCAAAGTCCTGAGTTAGCAGATCAAGTTTCAGAGTGAAGGAATACGGGTCTCCCCAGGTGGTTCTGATGTTAAAAGGGATAATTCTTCAACTTCCTTTTCTTAGGCCTGACAACCCATTTTGTAGTTCCCCAAGCAGGGGATGTCTCTGAAGTCAAGGACCAATACCCCGTTTAAGGAGGGAATGTCTGGTCGTAGGCCTAAACTAGAGCCAAAATCTCTTGTAGTTCATATTTTGGCTCATAACTTTCCATATGCACAAGTGACATTCCACCCGCGGGTAGATATTATGCAGACACATCTGAGGAATGATTAGATATGAAATATGAAATTATACACTGAATGGTTCAAGAGATCTACTTTTCGGCTTTCCTATGTATTCCAGCCAAGGAGAGTGACCTATCGAACTGTTTGTCTTCTCGTGGCCAATCTGAAGATATGCCTGTTTTTTGTGTAAGTCTCTCATATTCCAAGATATGAGACATAGGGGAAAAATGGATTTTAAAAGTGTTATCTGGTTCGTGCTTCTTTGGAATGTCTTTGAACTACTGGGAAGGCTTGTGTTATCTTTTGCGGGGTGTTATATTGCACAGCTCTCTGAGACAACCAGGCACTTCATGGCTCCCTGCTGTGCTCCGGCCTGCCTGTGACACTTCCAACACCCACACCAACCAGATGTCACTGTGGCTTTCAGAGAGGGAGGGGGAGAATGATGGGACAAAATGGAGATTTCTTAACAAAATGAAGGGCTGTGTCCTTCACTGTGTGTACACTTGTTACAATATGCAGTTTAATTTGTTGCCAATTCCATCGTTTTGATCTAAGCGCACATCGATTGGATAGTGAAATCGAAGCACACATGGCCCCATTACACAAGTCAGCATTGGCGTTGTCATTCCTTCCTCTCTAACCTCTCAGAAGCATAAATCTTGGAAATATCTTGCAGCCATTCTTTAATTGATGGACTATCTGGGGACTTCCAGTATCCTAATATAATCATTATTGCAGCATTAATAATAAATATAATATCATGTTTGTGAAAACAATAATTCCGCCAGTAATTACACGAGATCATTCATTCCAGGGAAGACCATATATCAACTTTATTAATTTCATTAATCTTCTTTATAATTGTTTTTCATCTCTTCCTGCCAACTGCTGAGCTGGACCGTAAGCAGGTGTGTCAATGCATGGTGCGCCGGCACGTTTCACCGCAGTCACTGCGCAAAAACTATGACATTCAGTTGATGCCGAATGGCACATATATCCACAGGAAGTTCCTATAAAGGTTCTACGGAATGTGCACAGTGCAGGGAGAGAAGATATGAACAAAGTAAGCAGAAAACTGTATATTTTAATCACTTCCTGTCCATCCATAGCCTATAGACGGCAGATGGGAAACTGTGACGATGCGGGATAATGTACCTGTATGTCGGCCCGCATTGGCGGCTCCTGTGCAGCTCACGGAGCGTGCATCCAGGAGACCACATGTCACCCAGATACAGAAGATCATATTTGCACTTTGTCCAGGAGATCATATGGTGTTTTACCATGTGATTGCTGTATCCAATCACAGCAGTCACATAGTAAACAAAGAAAGTTATTATCTCTGCTTTCACTGTGAAAGCAGAGAGAATCGATGCTGCAGCCTGTGTGTCACACTCACAGAATGCAATGTCAGCTACCCCAGTGTCCCTGATTACTGTCCCAGTGTGCAGCCAGCCCCTGTCACCTGTCCCAGTGCTCACAATAACAATGCCATACCCCATACCAATGTCCTGATCACTGCCATACCAGAATCCTGATTACCGTCATACCCCATACCAGCATTCTGATTACCGTCATACCCCATTCCCCATACCAATGTCCTGATCACTGACATACCAGCATCCTGATCACCACCATACCCTATACCAGCATCCTGATTACCATCATACCCCATACCAGCGTCCTGATCACCGTCATACCCCATACCAGCATCCTGATTACCGTCATACCCCAATACCAGCATTCTGATCATCCCATACCCCATACCAGCATCCTGATCACCGCCATACCCCCATACCAGCATTCTGATTACCGTTATACCCCATTCCCCATACCAATGTCCTGATCACTGACATACCAGAATCCTGATCACCACCATACCCTATACCAGCATCCTGATTACCGTCATACCCCATACCAGCATCCTGATTACCGTCATACCCCCATACCAGCATTCTGATCATCCCATACCCCATACCAGCATCCTGATCACCGCCATACCCCATACCAGCGTCCTGATCACCGCCATACCCCATACCAGCGTTCTGATCACCCCATACCCCATACCAGTATCCTGATTACCGTCATACCCCCATACCAACATTCTGATTACCGTCATACCCCATACCAGAGCCCTGATCACCACCATACCCCATACCAGCATCCTGATTACCGATTACCGTCATACAACATAACCAGCATCCTGATTACCATCATACCCCATACCAGCATTCTGATCATCCCATACCCCATACAAGCGTCCTGATCACCGCCATACCCCATACCAGTGTTCTGATCACTGCTATACTCCATACCAAAATTCTGATCATCCCATACCCCATACAAGCGTCCTGATCACTGCCATACCCCATACCAGCATCCTGATCACTGCCATACCAGCATCCTGATTACCGTCATACCCCATACCAGCATTCTGATCATCCCATTCCCCATACAAGCGTTCTGGTCACCGCCATACCCCATACCAGCGTCCTGATCACCACCATACCCCATACCAGCGTCCTGATCACCACCATACCCCATACCAGAATTCTGATTACCCCAAACCCCATACCAGTGTCCTGATCACCGCAATACCCCATACCAGCATCCTGATCCCCACCATAAACCATAATAGCATTCTGATCACCACCAAACTCCATACCAGCATTCTGATAATCCCATATGCCATACCAGCATCCTGATCACCATAATACCCCATAACAGCATACTGATCACAGCCATATACCAGACCAGCGTCCTCATCACTTCCATACCCCATACCAGTATCTTGATCACCCCATATGCCATACCAGCATACTGATTACCCTGTAAACCATGCCAGTGTCCTGATCACCCCATATGCCATACCAGTGTCCTAATCACCATATATGCCATACCAGCGTCCTGACTATCCCATACCCCATACCAGCGTCCTGATCACCGTCATACCCCATACCAGCGTCCTGATCACCGTCATACCCCATACCAGCATCATGATCACCCCCAGGGGTGGACTGACAACTCAGGGGGCCCTTGGGCAATAGGGGATCATGGGGCCCCTGTGTCCTTGCCCACACTCAAAAAAGCCTATAAAAAAGGTACCAGGGGCATCTCATCTGATCACCCTATACCTCATACCAGCATCCTGATCACCACCATACCCAATACCAGCGTCCAGTATTTTAAGGTCTCAAGTAATCAATTCTTATCCTATACACTGTTTGGGGTTATTTTTACCCCCCAAAAATGTTGCAGAATACATTTTGGCTTAAATTTATAAAGAAAGATTATTTATTTGCAAATTTTATAACAAAAACCAAGCAAAAAAATTATTTTATTTAAAAATGTTCGGTATTTGTTCATTTATATAGCAAAAAATCTAACACTACAAAAAAAAAGCTATATCTGTCTCAAAAAAATTATAAAAATTTAATTTGGGTACAGTGTTGCATGACTGAGTAATAATCACTCATATCGCGATAGTGCTGGAAACTGAAAAATTGGCCTGGACTTTGGACTGGAAGGGGGAGGAAGTGTCCAGATTTGAAGTATTTAATTAAAAATGTTATTTTTTTTTTTTTTTTTACTTACAGACAATGCTCTAAGGGCACACTCACACATGCATTTCCAATGTGGATCGCTCTTCAGAAAGCATTTGACCTTGCACTAGCGCAATGCAACCGTATGCATTGCACACAGTTAAGAGGTGCTTGCAAAGAGGCCCCATTTATTTGGACGTTCAGCGGGCACTATGCCTCCTGAAAGTGACAAGTAGTATCATTTCTGATGTGGCCACAAAGCAAAGCATTGTGGCTGCGGCACGTGTACACCCTCGGCCACTGCCTCTGCAGCTAAAAAGGGAGCTGTTGAGGGGGCAGTAGCGGCTCAACCCTTTAGTTTTACCACCACCATACTGCCGGTGTGAACGAGCCGAAAGGCGGCATTCACACTTGTGCAACTTGTCATGCGACTTTGGACATTAAAGTCACATGAAAAGTCACAGCCCATTCTTTTCTAAGGCACCCGTTCATATTGGGGCGACATAAAGTTGCAGTGATTTTGAAGAGGTGCCTGCACTACTCTGGCGTGATTTTTGATGAAACCTTTGGTTCAGAGAATGCAAAGTTGTATCAAAGTTGCACTGGAAAATGTGAGACTTTGGAGACACACCAATGTGAATGGAGGTTAAAAGTCTTTTCTGAGAGTTAAAGGTAAAACAAATAAATGAAGGTTTGCAATCATTATTAAATGTATTTTTAAATGTTTTAAGTATAAGTACCTGAATTTCACCTGGTACCAGTATTTTGCAGTTCCTGTACTGCAGGGCAGGAGTGTGAAAGGAAGAAGCAGCATGAGAATCCAATCAGTTCATGTGCTGACAAGAAGCATGTTGATAGGAGGAGAGAGCAGACTGACAGAAGATGAGCTCACCATTGTGCTGCTTTTCCTTTCACTGTCCAATCACAGGCTGGGGTGGGTCCAGGACAACCTGAGCTCAGAGGAAGTGGGTCGAATGATGCTGACCATTGGACTGAAGATATCCAGCAGTAGGAATGGAATGCTGCAGGGGAATCCCTGGAATGTTGCAGCAAAAGCAGGTTAGGGTGTCTCTTCTGCCAGCTTCTGAGAACTGTCTCCCACTAGCTGTCTCCCTGCTGGAAAACTACAAGGAAATTAGGGATCGTAGGGTGGCCAAGCAATCTTATACCACCTCTAGGAGGAGTGCTCCTCAGGAATTCTGGGGTCTGTAAGTTCATGTTATGTCACTATTGAAAAAGTACCTTGTTGATAATCATTAACTTTTCTGCCTGAAGAACTGTATGACCTGCAACATATAATATCCTGTATAGTAATATTGTTGTAAATGGTCTTATTTCTGTCATCAATTTCTACCACAATGAGGCTTATGGAATGGTTCCTGTGGACCTCAACTTTGACACTGTCTTCATTTACCCGGAGGATACTATCATCTTCTCTAAGATTTTTGAAGACCATCTCAGACATCTTCACCAGATCTTCACACAGTTGACTCAGTGTAGACTTAAGCTAAAGCCCAACAAGTGTCATCTCATGCCAAACTGGACACAGTATGTTGGTTAGTATTAAGGTAATAGGGAGGGTTAGTATTTGGGTAACAGAAGGGTTAGCATTTGGGTAACAGGAGGGTTAGTATTTGGGTAAGAGGGAGGGTTAGTATTTGGGTAACAGAAGGGTTAGCATTTGGGTAACAGGGAGGGTTAGTATTTGGGTAAGAGGGAGGGTTAGTATTCAGGTAACAGGGAGGATTAGTATTCAGGTAACAGAATTACTGATTGGACACAGCTGATCACATGACCGAGCCGACATCTTCGGCTCTTTCCGTGATCGGTGATCCACTGTGTCCGAGGGACACAGCGCACTGCCGATGGGCGCGATGCGCGCTCCCTGAGCCGCTCATGCGCGGTGAGAATGGGAGGACGTCATATGACGTCCTCTCAGAACGAGAGAACCACCTTGCGCCCGTCATTGGACTATATGGCGGGTAGGAGGTGGTTAAAGACCAAGCATTTTCAGGCACCTTTTGTTTACAAGTAAAAATCAGTATTTCTTGCTAGAAAATTACTTAGAACCCCCAAACATTATATATATATTTTTAGCAGACACCCTAGAGAATAAAATGGCAATTGCTTAAATTTTTTATGTCACACAGTATTTGTGGGAAAAAACACACTTTAATTATTTTTTTTTAAATATATAACCCAATTTTTTTGTAAAATTTGAAAGATGACGTTATGTCGAGTAAATAGATACTCACACTGTCCTTGTGTCCTGCAGCTTTTGATGAACTGCTTTCAGGCTTTTGCTGGTCTGGTTCCTTTCCAGGCTAACAAGCTGTCCTTCCTTGGTGGAGGGTGGAGCTCCATCTGTTAGCTTCCTTCCAACCTCCAGCCTGGAGACAGAGCCCCCCTCCTCCGGGATCCCCTCCCAGGCTAACACTCCTCAGTACTCCATCTTCCACCTGGCTCCCTTGCTGGCCAGGCTCTCTCACATGTATGGGCCAGTCTGCCAAACTGCCAGACCTCCTGCCTGGAATTGGTCAGACTTCTATGAATATGCAGGTCAGCTCCTCCTGGCCTCCACCCACTGGGTTTTAAAAACTTCTCCAAACTTCTAGAGCAGGGGAAGGTACTAGATGACTGACCCATAGAGCCCTCCAGCCTGACCTGAAGTAAACCCTCTGACTCACACCAAGGCTTTTAGCAAGCCTCTAACTACACTAACAAACTATGCACACTAGAGGGCGCTACTGTTTGACTTCTGTCCGACCGTCCTGTAGGGTTTTTCCAGAACAATTAGTGCTGCCAGTTGTAGCTGGCAGGCCTGATCAGTGTATTCTGATGGCTGCAAAGGCTCCCTGCTGTCAGAATACAACAGTGCAGTAGAAGTTATTCCCCCATCCACCTTGAATGTGTGGATGGGAGAATCGGGTCTTTTTTTTTTCATTCAACCTGCTAGCTGAACAAAAAAAAAATTATTAAGTGAACTTAAGAACATTTAAGTGTTTCTTAACACAGGACCCTGAATTCACTATATCTGGTCACCCCCGGACCCTACATTCACTATATCTGGTCTCCCAGGACCCTGCATTCACTATATCTGGTCTCCCGGACCCTGCATTCACTATATCTGGTCTCCCAGGACCCTGCATTCACTATATCTGGTCTCCTCGGACCCTACATTCACTATATCTGGTCTCCCAGGACCCTGCATTCACTATATCTGGCCTCCCCGGACCCTGCATTAACTATATCTGGTCTCCCACAGTACACAGAACATGGAAATGAAATTATTTTCATAAATATAACTGCTAAATACCTTTTCTCATCAGCAGTATAGAGCAGTTTTGTGACTTCTATCAGTGTCCAGCTGAGCACTGTTTAAAGCTTGTTGGAGGAGTTTTCTTTCTCCTCTAACTGTCCTATGAGGCTGCATAACCCCTGACCCTCTGTCTGGACAGTGCTGATTGGCCCTGTGCTGATCACATGCACCCTCT